ATAGATATATAGTTACATTCTCTTAATGAATAGAGAGATTTGTTCTCATGGTGTTTGTAAATAGAATATCATGTCCGCATCTTGTACAGCAATTAACCACTAGGAAGAATGTATGCAATGTGTTAATTATTGAAACTGTTCTACCAATTTGATTTGAAACTGTCTCATGCTATTTTTCTCAATAAAATTATGAAAAAAAGACCAGCAGAGATCAGTAGTACAATTATCCAAATTATCCTGATAAATATACATAAATATATCTTTTTGCCTACTTTATTTTGTCCTTTTAAGTGACATAAATCATACCCATACATGCAAACATCATATTGTTTTGCTAGTATGAGAACCTGAGAGTAAATAAAATCTGAAAAGTACAATAGATACTGTGAAAGGGAAAGAACTTGTTCAGTGTAAGTACAAACTGGGATAAGTTGGTTTTCTGTTTCTGCTTAATAAGCTAACAAAATCTCAATGTCTTTAAATGTTGAAAAATTATCATTATCATCAGCGATGAGGTGATTTAAAATAAAGTGAACATATGATATATCAATCACAATCTATCCAGAAAAATAATTATGTTGCAAAAATGAAATAACTATTCATAGAAAAAAATAGCATATCATTTTCTTTCTTCTTTTTTTTTTTCCCTGTGGTACTTGGGATTGAACTCAGGATCTTGCGCTTGCCCGGCAAGCACTTATTCTACTAAGCTATCTCTCTGGCCCTCACATCATTTTCTTGATTGTACCTTATTTCTTTTCCCCCTTGAGAGTCACAGGTCTTCTATTCTGAAGGATTCTAGTCTGATAGTCTGATTTCCATTTATTCATTTTAGCAAATCACCGCTCAGTAATTTTGCAACTGCCATAATTTTCCTAATGTAGTGAGCAGTTTCAATCCATATCCTGCTGGCTTCTCTAGTTCCTCCTCTAAACAAATGCCTTTCCTTAAATGCTCACTGATTGCTGTTCTCTTGGTTGTCTTTCTAATGTGAAGCTTTTCTGCTATTTCCTCTCTCTTCTCTCCTTCCATGAAGAATGATGGTTCCACAAATCAAGCTCAAATGTTTTGCTCCCACTAAATTCACCTCACATGACCTGATCCCCTGCTGTGGCTTCAGGAGCCACACAGGAAATTCCAGCAGCTGTGATGCTGTCCCTCCCTTTGCGTTGCAACGTTATGCATTCATGTGGCAGTGGACATTTGTTTAGATGTCAGTTATTCAACTAAACTTTCATTTTTCAGGTCCAAACACACCACAATACACCTTCACATGAGAAAATATTACTGGTTCTCTTTTCTTTTCTATATAGCCGCTCACATAATTATAGTAAGTAAGATTATTGTTTTTCAGTTTTTTAACTATAAGAATCAAGGATATATGACTCAGAACTGCAGTTGAAATGTTCAACTCCACAGCCCTAAAGTCAGTGTACAAAGTGCTTTAGATATAGTGAATGCATTATATTATATTTTTAATTTTTTGAAGTGTGACACATCAAACTCAGTGCCTCACATATTCCCAATGAGTCTTCTTCTATTGAGCTTCATTTGAAATCCATATGAACTGTACTCCCTCATTCTGAGAATGATGATGACGAGTAAATGAGTTTTATCCTCATTTCCATGTTTGCACATAAAGCTTGAAGTATGTTCAAAGAATGAAGACACACAACAATTTTCTATGATAAAAATTGAGAGAAAAAAGCAAAGTCATAAATATGAAAAATATAGTTTATTATATTAGCCACAATATAAAAGTAAATATATATATTTCATTATATGCAAAAATAATTTAAATCATAGTTAAATAAATAGATATTACATAGACAAATGGATACTTCTGCACAGTCACAGGTAAAGGAATTCTACCTAGAAAGAATAAAATAAGCTGGCAACATGTGAAAACATCAGAGAAATAAGACTGCTATAATCTGAGCAAAAATGAGAGTCTTTTAAATGGCAGGACTTGTGAAAGTACAGTGCAGGACAT